GAAAATTTACAAAAATGGCTAATTCTATTCTTGTCAATTGAAAAGTGTCTAATTTTGATAACTCTTGTAAAAATGACCAAATTTGGTACAAAATTGTCTATTACACCCTCAATGTAAAATGAAGTATTTTTTTTCAATTTGTCATGAATTTTGACAAGAACAAGTAGCTTCTATGAGAAGCTACATTAATGTCAGCTAATTACTAATGGATTCATTTGCTTTTATCATCTATTAGGTGTTGACCAAAAAATTTGACAAAAATTAAAGAAGATGAAGTAGAAAAGTCATCAACACTAAAAAAATAATAATTATATACCTCCAATTCATAAGAAAATCATATAATTTCATTTCGAAAAATTTAATTTTTTCCAAATTTGCAATGATCCACAATTCTCGGTAGAATGTAATTATTATTTTTGTAGATAAGTTGTGTTTCATAGTTGTTATTCTTGACATTTCATGCATTCTCGACATTTTAAAAGTTATTATTGACATTTTGACCATCGGCTTGTTTGAACCCATTTTTTTTTTCAAAAGTGTATTTTGTAATAGTGTTATGATAGAGAATGCGTGGTTAAAAATAAAGAGAAGTTTTAGATTTGCGATAATATTATTTTATTAAAGAATGTATGGTTGAAATGAAGTCAAATCACTGTTCAAGAATTCATTTTGAAGGGAAAATAGAACTCAAATAAGGGTTTTGTTTATCTTGACACTTAACACTTTATTTGTTTTAAACGAGATTTCGTTATGAATTTGAGAGTTCTCTACATTTCATAATATTATTGACATTTTAAGTGTACTTCTCGACATTTTCATAAATGTTTTACCTACTCACTTATAGGGAGAAGGGAACATTTAGAGCTTGTTTGGAAAGGGATTAAAATCAGATTAAAGTTGAAATATAGCAGTTGGAGTTGACTTTTATTAGACGAGTGAGACCCAATAACGGCTATATTTTCAATTTTAATTGGATTTTAATCCATTCCAAACAAGCTCTAATGCATGATTGACATGATACTTTT